AAAAACTTTTTCCTCGTCAAAAGTATTTCGAACAGAAGTCGTAACTCTAGTTACCAGATACAGAAAGACTCTATACTCAATTATCTTATTAAATAATTGGATTTTCTCTTCTGTCGTAGAGTTCAGGGTCCCACACTCTGCCTCTGGCGCACATGAAACCGTCGACTTCCGGGTTTAAGTTCGGATGGATTCAAGGAGTTCTTTTAAGATGTCTTCTCAATATTTGGGGGGTAATGCTTTTCCTACGGCTCTCCTGGGTCGTCGCACAAGCAGGCATAGGTAACAATAATAAAATCTTGAATATAAAAATATAAAACAAGAACGCAAAATCAAAAATGAGATTCTAGATTCATTTTCTAAATTGACATCACAAGTTCTGAACGTGGAAGAATCCACTAAGGAAGTAATTATGAACTATTTTACAGGAGAAGCAATTTTGTTAATATTAACCACGACGACTGTAACAACAATCACGTCGTTGTCCATGTCAGCAATCAGCACAAATGGCCTGATCAAAGGAGGTAATTAAAACCTGTATATAAAAAGCAAGAAAAATAATTATAACAGTTCTTGACATTTTCTAAGACCTGTCTTGATCCCAAGAAAAATTCTCATCTGGGTTTCTTATATCACTTTCAAATCCACATCTCTGAATCCACTTTACATATGTAAATTTGCTAAGAGTCTATAGCTATAATCATTAGATAACGTTAAAGACTGGTCATTCCAGTTGAGAAACTCATTACCAACAACGTCAGTCGATTAAACGTTAACAGAGAATCGAACATAATTGCACGATTCATTACACAATCAATTGAAGTTTTTTTAATTTTATAAACACGTGTAACATGAAGAGACAATTGCTGATTATTGTTAATATGCCAATTAAAAAGTCTGCAATCTTTCTTAGAACCATAAATGGCCTCACTTAGAACTCAATTATTAAATCACGATTATAATAATTTAATGATTAATTAATGAAACGAATTTTCCACAGGTGGGACGTATTACATGATTTCCAGATCGCTGGGTCCGGAGTTCGGAGGATCTATAGGATTAATATTCTCCTTAGCAAACGCTGTAGCCTGTTCTATGTATGTCGTTGGATTCTGTGAAAGCATGGTCGATTGTTTGAAAGCTAATGGGATTTGCATCGTCGACTGCGATAACACGGACATTAGAATCATAGGTCGATTAAAAACTATACACGTATTCCCGAGAGTCTAGGACCGTTTCGTGCAGTTTGAAAAATGGTGGGGATCGCAGTGAACTCCTTCTGCACAGTAAAGCATTGAGATGCACAGAATGATCAAAAACTGAACTGTGCCCGGTCCTAAACTTTCGGGAACACGAATATAAAACGTTTTACTGCTTCCTTCAAGCAATTCTTCATCGTTGCTTTGTATTTACAGGCTGCATCACAATAGTTTTGTTATTGCTGATCGTTATGATCGGATTGGAATGGGAAGCGAAAGCGCAAATTGGTTTGTTAGTCATTTTACTATTGGCCATTGCTGATTTTGTCATCGGCACTTTCATTGGACCTAAGGACGACGAGGAAAGGGCTAAAGGATTCATAGGATATAATGGTATTTATTGAGAAAACTGCACAAATACACTGATTTTAAAAAACAAATAACTATGGGATTGTCTGTTTTGTGTTTGCAGCTAATTTGCTGGAGGAGAACTTTTCACCGGATTACAGATACAGCGAGGGGGTGGAACACAATTTCTTTTCAGTGTTGGCCATTTTTTTCCCAGCAGCCACGGGCATCCTGGCAGGTGCGAATATATCCGGCGACTTGAAGGTGATTTAGTCCTTCGGCCAATAAGGAATTCGGCTTACTACTCTCGTTCAATTGTTTAATTCACTTGAAACTATTTATAAATTATTATTATAACGATCACAAATAATTGTAAAGAGTGAATTAAAATTTTTAACAGGATCCGCAAACGGCTATTCCTAAGGGGACATTGTTGGCCATTTTTCTAACGACGATTTCTTATCTTCTAATGGCGCTTATGGTTGGGGCATCGGTGATGCGAGACGCGTCTGGTGACGTGAACGATCTGTGGACTGTTTTTAACAGCTCGTACGCTGGTTTGTCGAGCTTCAACGCTTCCAATGAAACGACCGAGATTCCGATTGCTACTCAAAATCAAATCGCATGGTCGAGATACGGCACGAAATTTAATTGCACAGGGAATTGCCAATACGGCAGCCATAACAGCTTCCAGGTATTCACTCTGACGAATTATAAAAACGATATAACATTTCATTTGATGACTGATTTTTAGGTGATCGAGTTGGTGTCTGCTTTTGGGCCATTGATCTACGCCGGGTGCTTCGCAGCTACTTTGTCCAGCGCTTTGGCGTCGTTAGTCTCTGCCCCAAAGGTGTTCCAGGCACTTTGCCTGGACAAATTGTACCCTGGGATAGAGTGGTTCAGCGGGGAGAAGGATAAGGAACCCATACGTGGATATTTCTTGACGTTTGTGATCGCAGTTGGGTTCATTTTAATCGGTAAGTGTTACAATCTGATGATTGATAATGAATTTTATATGAATATTCGTTGGGTTTTCTATAGGGGAACTGAACGCCATAGCTCCGTTGATCTCAAATTTCTTCCTGGCTGCGTACACCCTGATTAACTTCAGCACGTTTCATGCCTCGCTCGCGAGGCCCATCGGTTGGAGACCCACGTTCAAGTATTATAACATGTGGCTCAGTCTAGCCGGCTCTGTTCTTTGCGTTTCTGTGATGTTCTTGATCTCATGGTGGACAGCGTTGATCACGCTATTCGTAGTTCTAGCGCTCTACTTAGTAGTCTCGTATAGAAAACCAGACGTGAACTGGGGATCCACCACCCAGGCACAGACGTACAACAACGCGTTGAACGCTGTCCAGCAATTGGACAGGGTCGAGGAACACGTGAAGAATTACAGGCCTCAATTGTTGGTGCTCACTGGGAATCCGACCGCCAGGCCGGCGCTCGTCGACTTTGCGCATCACATTGCCAAGAATAACAGCCTCTTCATCTGCGGTCACATCATCGAGACCTCGATATCGTATAAAACGAGGAACGCTTTGATCGCAAATTGTATTTCCTGGCTCAGGGCGAATAAATTGAAGGGGTTTTACTCGCTGGTCGATGGCGCCAACTTCCAAGATGGGACCACCTCCTTATTGCAAGCTGCCGGTTTGGGCAAAATGAGACCGAACATCTTATTGATGGGTTATAAGCAAGATTGGGCGACTTGTTCTCAGGACAACTTGAATATGTACTTCAACGTGATGCACAAAGCTCTGGACATGCATATTGCAGTGGCGCTTCTTCGGGTGAGCGAAGGTTTAGACAGTGGCACAGTGGCTGGAGATGCTGAGGAGCAGAAGAAGAACGCGCAGATTCCGCAGACTCAAAGCTTCTCTCAGCTCAGTCAAGGTATGTGAAACATCTTCTAGAGAAAATTCGATATGGTTAACAAATAACATTTTTATAGCTAGTAGCACGTCGGACATTTCTATCCCCGGAAGTCCAGCGCCGAGGAGGTCTAAGGCGATTAATGATTACCCGAATCCCATCCCTGAAGAGCAACGTGAAACCAGGCAGGCTTTTATACCAGTAGCGAAAGACATACTTAACGCTGTGACCAAGTTCCAACGTAAGCAGAAGAAGGGTACGATCGACGTCTGGTGGTTGTACGATGATGGTGGCTTGACTCTTCTTCTACCGTACATCATCAGCACCAGGCGAAATTGGGCTAATAATAGACTAAGAGTGTTCGCTCTTGCGAATAAGCATTCAGAGCTCGAATATGAACAGAGAAAGTAAGATCTTATTTTATAAATGCCATAATTCGTACAAAAAACATTATTTCTTCTTTTTATTTCAGCATGGCTAGCCTTTTGTCGAAATTTCGGATAGATTACTCAGCCCTGAAGGTCATTCCTGACATTTCTAAACCTGCGCAAACGTCGTCGAGAAATTTCTTTGATTCGTTGATCGAAAATTTCAGGGTGACAGAAAATTCGAAACAGACAGATGGTATTTTTAAAAATTTATCAAATTTTTCTAGTAATTTAATGATAGTAATTGATTGATTGATTTTTAGATGTTATCAAGGATTCGGAATTGATTGCTATGAGCGAGAAGACTAACAGACATTTGCGTTTAAGGGAGCTCCTGTTCGAAAATTCCATGGACGCCAACTTAGTAGTGATGTAAGTGACTGAAAGATTAACTATTATATAAAATTGCATGATTGATTTTGTCGATGATATTTTTTTTAGGACGTTGCCAATGCCTCGAAAGGGTGCCGTCTCGGCTCCTCTTTATATGGCGTGGCTAGAGACTTTAACGAGGGATATGCCACCATTTTTACTCGTCCGAGGAAATCACACGTCGGTATTAACTTTTTACTCATAACGACGCAAACGCGAGACACGTAGTGCCACAGTAATTATCGACATTCATTCAACTATTTTTCATATCTAAGATACGTGCAGGATGTCGCAGAATAGAAGTGATTCTGAACAACAATTTCCTTTGGTACAACGCAAAGTGAGTTATGGTTTTTGAATTATTGACGAAAAACGCTGACTAATGAGAGTACAGCCACGGGAATGGCGGATTGTGACGCTCGGGCATTGGTCAGTGCGAGCCCTACACGAACTCTCATTGGTCAGTGTTTTTCGTTAATAATTAAAAAACCATGTCTTACTTAGCGTTTTGACACTTTTTCTGGGACACCCTGTATAGCGCGGGCCAATTTTTTAATGTATTTCGACTAAGCGAGATTTTTTGATAACATTCGATGATAACTGTTCCTAAATTCCTCCATCCATCGATCGTAGGAAAGAGTAAATCGATATTTTAACGAATACTTAAAGCTAAACGATATTTCAGATAGCGTACGACATAGCAATAACTTTTATTTGCTTCCATTTATTCAAAGTCTAAATTTATTTATTTAAGAACGATCCGAGTATTCGACAGTATTTTTCGACTAAGACTCTTTGAATAACTCTAAGCAAATATTAATAAACATCGTAGGTGAATCTAACAATAAGTTCGGTAATAAATAAATCATGTAAAACGTTTAATATGCATTGCGCGTGGGTCTGTTCACTTTGTAAGAGGACGTCGACAATGTTTTGTAACTACTTTTTTCAATAAACACGCTATTTTATTACGTAATTATTGTTACCTTATTTGTTACCTTCTAAACCATTATTAGAACCAAGCGGGTTCGCGGTCGTGAACGCTAGGCGGCACCACGTATTTCTTCTAAATGTTACACGTCGCGCCATCTAGCGTTCACAAGCCATTACTAGAACCAGAACCAAGCGGGTTCGCAGTCGTGAACGCTAGATGGCGCAACGTGTATCGTTTAGAAGGAAATCTGTTTTCAGCCGTGGCTGACAGGTGGCACTGCCATACTAAGCCATGGCTGATAAAACAGGCTTCCTTCCAAGTAATTATAGCCGCAGATTAGATAGCGCCACATGTAACCTACATTACCTAAATTTAATGCACACTTTTTTTAAATAAAATGGATGGAAAGTTTCTTGAAATGTTTTTTATTGATTCGTTCGAATGTAGATAACAAATGTACAAAGAAAGTAGAACAACAGTTGACAATTCAGTAAAATTAAATGAAAAACGAGAACAGGCGAAGCCGAGAATACGTAATGGTAGGAAGAGATTGTTTAAAAACGTGTGTCTCAGGCACATCATTATTATAATTCCTCTAATTTTCAGACATTATCAACGTCTATAGACACAATTCTCTAATCTAATTAAATGGAAAGAACGTTCGATGTCTACTGAACGATTAACTGTTGCCTCGGCTGCTTTTATTCCGAGCGAATTT